AGGCTGTTACGGGCCTCCATGATATCTGTCGAATATATGAAACTGTCCTACCACTGACTATTGACAAGAATTTTCTAATGTTCGTAACGAATTGGTCGACTACCGGAAGAATCATAGACACTTTTGCTTGACGGCAACCTCCTGCCCAAACTACTTCGTCATGGTAAAACATCATGTACATCCCTCTATTTGTTATTCATTCTATGTGTGCCCCAAAAAAAATTTTAAATAATCGAACTTCATTTTCCCTCCACCTCCTATGGGTTTGAGCTGAATATGGAAAGTGATGTGCAGTGTGTTGCATCAAAAGTTAAGCAGCAATTCTGTGCAAGGGATCCTCATTTCTAGCTCAAACTGGAGGAATGCGGCGGTAAAGTGCTAAGGAAAATTCCAAAATCTTTCGAGACATCCTAATACCTGTGCATTCTTTCAATATACAAATCGGCATATTAACACGACTATCCGCCCACTTCGTTCAAGATGCAGGTGATCAACGTTGAAAGGAACTTTGATCCTAGTGGATGTTATGCAGGCTGCTCACAAAAAGTTTCAGTAGCGATCTAGTCTTTATGACGTCTACGTCACATTAGGTTCCAACAACATGTGCATTTCTACCGTATTCAAAACTTGCAGAGCAATTTTTCGACGGAAGCAAATTATTTTTGTCAATAGGGTGTTCTCAGCACAACAGAAACAAAACTGAATTCAGCTTATGTTGTTGGAATTCTTCTACCGTTAGAGGTTTTTAGGAGGAAGTCTTGAACTGGTGAGTCTTGGGACTAAGTTCAGCAATCGGCTCTCACATTGTCCTTACGGTTAAATAAAATACAGTGGCACAGAATACAAGCAAAATTACTTTAACAAACAAAATATTTCTTTTCATAGCAACCCTATTTCAAAACACAAGCTCTTAGGTCGTCACATACGTACACGAGGAAACGTAATGGGACCATGGGCAAGGGTTTAGTATAACTTTGGGGTTATGTTGCAACATGACCACTCGATGGAGTTTGGACCCACAACTAGATTGTTGTACAGTAATCAACTCTCAGCCGAGTGTCCTGGGGGATGGGTAGTAAGACTGGCTTTGTAATCGATCCGCCGCGCGCGGCTGTCGCGGACCATTCGCTTCGCCTTTATTACAGCTCAAGAGTTCTTCATACAGCTCAATCGATATGCGATCATTGTTTTAGGCATGATTCTACTATTGGTTTATATGTTTTTGTATTTCTTATCTGCTGCTGCATCCTGCTACATTCCTTCACGCGCGGCGTTCCTCTCGCCTTGACGCGACAATTTCGTTCCTACTGCACCACACTCGCCGTAATTGGCTTTTACGCCCCTCGATCGATTTCTTGTTATACGGGAGTCGAGACAATACAGATTGCAACTATTCGTTCTAAGGCCCACATACAATCAGCTGATCGCCGAATGATGAGGCGATGTTTTT